GACAAAATTTGTCGATTTTTAAATTTGTAATTTTTTTGGATATTTCCCCCATTTGCGGGGAACGAGGGAAAATTTTTAAATTTTTAAGGGTAATGTCTTCAACTAGATACAATTTGTGATCTTTTGACGTATTGTTAAAAGAAATCGGTCCAGTGAGAGCTGAGAAAAAGTAGTGACAGACACAAAAAAAAAAAAAAAATAAAAAAAAAAATAAACACATCATGGTAAAATTAATACCTTCTCAGCTTCGCATCGAAGCTAAAATTAATGTTGGTCTCAGATAGATTGGAAAAACAACATGCAGTTTGGCACATTAATTCTTTCGGATAATTGCATTACTACGGATGCACCTTGTCCAAATTAAGAATATTTTGACTTAATTTCCGTCGATGCTCCTTGATAAATTATAAAATCATAAATCATTCCTGATATACCACATAAACAAAATAATTTTATGCTCCACTTAGTCGGTTTACTTTTTAATGTATTGTTTTACATTTAACTGACCCTTAAAAGAAACCGTGAGCTTTTTAAATTATAGCTAAATGAATGACAATAAATAATTTATTTTGCATACTATTTTTCTGTGGGAAATTTCATGTTATGAAGCAGATAGTTTTTACCTTTTTAATTTTACATTCTGTTTATGTATTTATCAATTATATTGGTGCAATATATTTCAAAATACCTAGATTGTAGATATGAAAAATGAATTAAATTTTTTATCAGCTTAATAGCGAAGGTAATATTTTTTTAATTTATTAACGAATTAAAATATGATAGAATATTTAAGATTAAGAAAAAGAATAAAGTCCTTATGTTTTTATTTACAAGTCTAATACAAGGGGCAGTAGCGATTGTTCAAGGACCATGGAGTCAATTTTTTTCGTAGTTTAATACTTCATAATTAAAAATAATTAATCAATTATGTCAAATATTATTAAAAAATTAAAAGATATATTTTAAAATATTAACTAACATTAACTAATTTTAGCTTCAATGCGAAGCTGAGAAGGTATTAATTTTACTATGATGTGTTTTTTTTTTTTTTTTTTTTTTTTTTTTTTT